ATCAGGATTGTAACCCCTGCTTTTATTTTGAGTGGCCATTTGCCTGGTATAGTTTTCACCATCCTTTGATTCTCAGCCTACTTTTGTCTGTGAGTTCGAGATGTGTCTCTTTAAGACTGCAGATATATGAGTTGTGTTTTCTAAGCCCATCTGCTAGTCTCTGTCTTTTAATGGTTGAATCCAGACTATTGATATGTAGAGGTATTACATCCATCTGTGGACTTTGTGATGTCATCTGGCACCTTTTGTGTGGAGGTTTTCCTACCTTCCTTCTTATCAGTGTGTGTGTGTGTGTGTGTGTGTGTAGGGGGGTGGTTAATTCTTGCCTTCTTTTCATCATTGAGCTAATGGTACCTTGGGGGTTGTTTTTCATGTGTTGACCTCTGGGTGGAGTTGTCCTATGTGGTGGTCTCCTATTTGGTTGTTTGCTTGTTTCAGAAAATGGAAAGAAAGTAGTAAGAGAAAGTAAAATATTCCTCAGAGGATGATTCCTTAAGTTTCTCCTCTTTCTCCTGTTAAATAGTGGAAAGCTGCTAATTTCTTCTTGACATTAACTTTTTAAAAATTTCTTACATGAATTTTATCTTTTTTCAAACAATGCCAAGGAGGTGGAAGTTCATTTTAGAATAGTTTCATTTTGCAGAATCATTGTTATTTCAGAGATAAAGGGTAATGTTGTTGTTCGGTCCCTTCATGGTGGTTCCACACATGGTGGGTTCCACTCTGTACTTAACAGAAACCAAAAACAAAACAAAACGACAACCCTATCCCCAGTTCTGCACCACCCTCACAACCATTGCTGTGTTAGATAACAGCTTGGCAGCCTCTCTCTTATCAAGGATTGCCCTCTTTTTCACTAACCTGCCACCTTACTAATCATGATGTCTTTCTCCAGGAATTGATTATTCCCAACAACATGCACAGCATATGTGAGACAGACTTGCCATCCTCACTTCTTAGGAGCTTTCTGGCTGTACCTCTTTCAAGACACCTGTGTTCCTTTTTCTGGCAGTTCGTGGTACTGTTAGTATTCTTTGCTAATACCTTCATTCACAGGTATCCATTTTTATTTGGTCTTTCTTATTCATTGTTCAACTCTTGCGTTTATATGAGGTCATTGAAAACACCAGTGTTTGAGTCAAGGACACCTTCAGCCTCTAAGACTCCATCTTTGCTTCTTTAACAAGGTAAAGAGGTCTGTTACAGCACATCTGTCCATTGCCACTTGTAGTTTTACTTCTTGATTGCTGCTTCTGTATGCCTTGATTGTAAATCCAAGTAAATGAAACCCTTCGCAAGATTATTTTAATGAAGAATGTAGTAGTTAATGCAATCAAATTGGGAAAATGGGTAGGCAAGAAACTAGTAAACATACCAGATTTTGAAAGTAGTATTTATATTTGAGCATGCATCTAAGTGTTTTGAAATTTTTAATTGAAATTTTATAGAATTTTGATGTTATAAATTACCTTAGGGAGTCCTTCATTGCTATACATGCTTAAAACACTTGACCACTAATTGAAAGGATGGAGGTCTGAGAGGTTTGAGCACACCCTGATCAGCCTTGGAGGAAAGGCCTGTGATCTACTGCTGAAATATCAGCAGGTCAAAATCCTGCGGAGGACAGTCTACTTTGACACACGTGGGACCATCATGAGGTGGAATTGATTCCATGGAAACTAGTTATTTATTCGTTTCTTTCTTTTTAAGTTTCCTAAGACAAGAAAAGGAGCCCTGGTGGTTTAGAGGTTACACTTTGAGAAAGACAGCTTTCTACTCTGTCTCAGAAACTCACGGAGGGGTCACTGTGAGTCACTACCAACTCAAGGGCAGTGAGTGAGAAGACATGAAAGACTCCACTCTCCCATTTTTTTAAATAAAAAACCAGATTCCATAGATGTGAAGAGTCTTTTTCAAAGTCATACAAATAGTAGCATTGATTAGCAATGATTTCAAACTATGATCTCACTTCACCCAAGAAAATGAAGCCAACAGTGAGAATTTGCTTTTGTAAATGGTTTGGTGTCATATGTAAATATAATTATTTTTATATGACAGAGTCATGTATTTAGGTTATTACGTGGAAGACATTTGTTAGTTAATTAATAATATTTATTAGAATCCATAATTGCTCAAAATTTTTTCTTACACTAAAAAAGTAAAACAAAGCTTTAAGTAACTTTACTGAATCATATTTTCCATTTAATTTAATTTTAATAGATGCAAAGATAAGAGAAATTAAAATTATAAAGGTTAATGTTTTGACCTATAAATAATGGGTATTTATCACTTTAAATACTGGAACCCTTGTAATTTTGTTTTCTCCATGCTTTTAATGTCTGAATTTCTAGTAAATTGTAAGTACGCTTTCTTTTAAATCTAAGTAACTCCTCAGGTACATTGAGCAAAGGACTTACTCCATTGTGAAGATCAAATGAGGTGTTTTATGTGCAAGCACTTAGCCTAGATTCTGGTTTATCATCAGTAGAGTAAGCTGTTTTATTAGTGTGTGTGTGTAAAGAGTAAAAAATGAAGGGTCGCCTGTATCAGAGAAAATATAGAATTTGACTACAAGAGTCAGCTTAATGCAAGCAACAGCTGGTCCCTTTATAGGGCTTAGGATACAGATCACTTAAAAGATATATGAGTATGTGTGTGTATATACACACATAGGAACAGGAAAAAATGTAAAACCTTTCAAAGTTCACCAGTTTCACGTAGCCTCCAGCACTTCACTCAAGCTCATTAGGAAGTTTACATATATAATGCAATCTCTTTGCAATAGATTTGATTCTTCTTTTCCTTTCCTTTAATTTTTTTTAATAAAAAGTCTTGTAAATTAGAACTTTCCCAGGGGGCTAACCTATACAAGTTGTTCTGGAGGTAGAATGCCTTCTGATCGAATATCTTGGAGGGGAAGAAAAATGGTTCACTAAGACCGAAGTGCACTGTTTTATATAATTAGCAGTCTATATCAGAATACCAAGGGCAGTATTAGCAATTAATAATGCCCTTGCCTGTGTTTAGCATAAGAAATGCATTTGTCTTACATAAAAGAACTGTGCAAATTAGCAGTACATTGTCTCAGCCCAGCTGTTGTAAAAGCATTACCATATGGCTTTACAGTACACCTTTATTTTACCTTGGAGATTAAACAGCCTTTAAAAATACTATTTCCTAAGGTCATGCTGTGCTGCACCCACACACAAACACACACACTACCAGTGTGTCCATACATTTTGGGGGAAATTGGCTAATTCTTGAAGGTTACAATTTACACTGTTCCCTTTCCCTCCTACCTTACTTAGCCAAGATTCCTATGAATGAAGTCATGCTTAACTATAAGAAAGCAACTTGGAAGTTAATTAAATTTCCTAGCCAACCATACTAGATATGATAAGGATAGATGCCAGAATTTTCTTTAGTTTGGCTCAGTATGAAAATAAGATCTCCTAACTGGGATCAACCAGTCCATTGCTCGGCTCAAGTTAACACCTAGCATAGATGATAGAAGACCCAGCCGATACACTGAACAGTGGGATCAGTAAAGAGTTATGTGAGTTTGCTATGCGATCTAAGAAATACTTCAATCCACAGGAGCACATTCTATCTGGGAAGCGTGATAATGAAGAATGCTGGATCAGGAATAAAGCTTTGCAAGAACCCTATCACATAGAAACTTGAATGGATTTGTAGCCAATAAGGTAAATGAACAGTGAGAGGGCAAAATAGTTTGAGCATCATTAAAGTGGGAAATTATCAGATATAATCATGATCAACAATTGAGCATGTGAGGAAACAAAAATCAGGTAAAGGTGATCATCATTTTGAAAAAAAAAAGACAAATTGCATACTTGAAATGTTTTAACTTGAACTATAAATACATGAGCATTTTTATGACAAAATTTTAATGTGGAACTGCCTTTTTTCTCTCATTAGATGTATAACTTTTACAAAGGAGTATCTGATACATACATAAGCCTTTAGGGGTCACATTTGACTTCACTTCCCCTTTCTTCTCTTCTTGAAACCCTCGAAAAATGTAAAAGCTATCCTCAGCGTATGGACCGCCCAGAAAGGACACTGCCGCCTCCAAGTTGACTGCGCTCAGCACGCTGATCCACTGTTAGCATCCGGGTGCTTTCCTTGCACAAAGCACCTTGAGAGATGAGTGAGCGTGCCTTTAAACCCCCCTTTAAATGGGCTGAATGTCCTAAAGGCAAATGCAAAGCAGAACAAATGCAAGATCTTTAACTTTTTGGTGTTATTTTTATTTCTATAGTTTCTGCCTCCATCTAATTATAGCTACTGACTCAATACAATCTTTCTACAACATTCAATTTAGTTTCCCTAGAAACCATGATTACTTTCAGTATTCCAATCCCAAAGGTTTCCCTAATATTCAATTAAAGGACATAATAACCATACTGCCTAAAACATGAATAGGTAGGTTAACAGGAAGGCAATACTGTCTCTTGAAGAACCAGGAATTTAGTAAACGGAATAAGAAGCACGGTTGTACAGCAGCCTCGTCGCAGTAAGCCTCTGGTCCTTTGGTATCTGACTATATGCTTTAGAAAGAGCCTGGGAAGCATGGGTCACCCAGTTAGTCAGTTTAAGTGCAGGTTGATGCAGAAAGCTTATGCGCATCTACTTAGGCACTATACCAAAAACTGTGCATATGCTAAATGGCCAGAGAGGTATCGTCCCAGAGTATAAGAGTAAAAATAAGTTACATATATTAAACAGTCAATTCACATATCGAATTATTCTAGGTTCATTACTTCATTATTCCTCACGATGCTAAGGTGGCAGGTGCAATTTGGGTATCATACCTGTGATATTTAGTTGGTAAGAGTCTTTAGATAAATTACTTCACCAATTTCCTCATTAGCTAATATAGTAATTGCTTCTCTTATGGTTTATGATGATTAATTTAGCAACTATTTACTAAATACCTACTAAATGTCTGGCACTGTTCTAGGCACTGAAGATATGGCAGTACTCAGACCCATGGTGTTCAAAGTACAGCTGCATCCGTGCCCCCTAAAAGCTATAAGAAATGCACATCCTTGGACCCCACACAAGACCTACTGACTGGTAAGTTCTGGGTTATTGTCCCTGGGAATCTATGGGTTAACAAGCCCTGTGTGTGCTGATACACTCTCACGTCTGAGAACGGTTTCTTTAGAATGCAAGCTCCTGTCCTCACAGCACTTTCACAGGGGTGCGTCATAGAAGTCTTTATTACATCACGCAGCATTTCTTGACATTGTCTCCATCTAGGTTTATCCATTCCTGATGATGGTATTTCCACACCTCTACCTCTTCCCTGAATAGTCCTCCACTCTTTGGTTTAGAAGACCAGTATTTCCTAAAGTCGGCAAAACCACCCCCTTGAGCGGCACTGGAGTGATTCAGGAGAACTGAAAATAAATACTTACACTTTATCCTGGATTATGGGCTATAGAACAAAAAAATTGCCAGGGGAAAACTAAGGGTTTTTTGTTTTTTCCTGAAAAGGAGGCAGTAGGGAACTTATAGGTTATACCATCAGAAAATGGCAGTTTGGGGCATCTTCAAGCACTACAAATTAGCACTACAAATTATGTTGATTGATTTTTTTTTTTTTGCATTTTAAGAACAAAAAATAATCAGGGAGGGCAAGATTAGGGTCATAGGGTGAAAAGGGCAAACTTTCCTGAGACAATTCTCATAGAAAGTCTCTGCTGCATTAGAAAACTGAGAAGGTACATTGTTGTGATGGGGAAAATTGGCTGGCATAGTTTTCCTGTTTTTTATTTTTTTTCTTAGCAATACAATCTTCTGCATCATAATCCTTCATGATTGTCCTGCGTCCTTAGAAAAAAATCTGGTAGCATTACCCCACTGTAACTTAAAATAGATGCCAGAAACTTCTGAGGTGACCTCTCTGCTTTGACTTTAAAGAGCCCAGCAGATCCCCTGGGAAGCAAGCCACCGGATTCAGTGGACTTTTCTTTTTTTTTTTCAAAGCACCTGAAGAAGTCTCACACACTTAGAGTATTGAGGGAACTTGTGTGTAGCCAACCAGGGCTCACTAAGACATGTTTAAGCATGTTTTGATTGGAAGAATCCCATGAGTGAATGCATTGGAATCCCAGCAGCAATTCTTTTTGACTAAAGACTCATTCTGCTAAATTGTAGAGAACACTTCTTACGGTTGATAAGGTAGAAGCACTCATAATGCCACGTGCCACAAATGTACATGTCCGCCATCCACTGTGTTCTATTATTAACACGACTAGAGCTAGTATCATTACGTTGGGGCGATAACGCACAATTTGTCTCATTCGAGATCAGTCATTTGTATCTGTTTTCTCAGAGTCCCTGGGCAACCCAGCAGTTTACAGATCCAGATGCTAATGAGCAGATTAGATGCCCAGGCCACCCAGACATGCCTGAGAGAAGAGGCCCGGCACTCTGCTTGCCAAAGCCGAGCCACTGAAAACTCTTAAGAAAGGGGCTCCATGAGTCAGGGACATCTGTTTTTATTTATTTTTACCTGTATTTTCATGGTTAAAAAAAAAAAGGAAATAAAGTTAGTCATAAACATGACTCTGAGTGAAAACTTAGATGTTTTACAAATTTTAGAGAATTAGATGTTCATTCAGACATTTAGACTAGATCGGCCAGGTAATGGCAATGACCTCTGTGAAACCCACAGTGAAGAAGGGTGGCCCATTCTTCCAGGGATGCCGCCGCTACTCATTCACACACAGCAGCTCCTATCTGGAAGTGCAAGCCCAGATTTTTCAATGAAAGCAGGAATTCTAGAGCTTTGTATAAATGTCCTGGTTTTTAAATATTTAAACCTAATTCAGATGGTGGGTCCAATCAAGCATGCCTTCAAGCCACCACTTGCTCAACAACCTTCAGTTTGCCAGCCTTTGAAATCATCCATTCCTCTTGTTTTATGTACATGCAATGAGGGCCTACAGAAGCTCAGGGCTTTCTTTACGAGTTCACAGAGTTCAACCAGGAATGAGAACTGGAGTGCATGACTCATTTCATGACTCCAATCTCTCATTTAACCTTCTTCCCATTCGGAAGAACATTTACCTCGAGAGTTGGATTGGGGTAACATTTTATCAAATGAGAAATTAGCAAGCGCAGCAGGATATAATTAATACATATTGAATGAAGCCCAACACAAATTACGTCAATGCTTTTCAAAGTGGTAGTATTTAAAGTATTTAAGTTCACATTTAAATGTAGTGTTTTTAGAGTTTTTGTTGCTTGTTTGTTTCGTGTTTCATGGGGGTTTTTTGGTTGTTGTTTTTTTTTTAACATTCCAGGCTTGTTTAAATCTTGGATTGAGACTTCAGTTTTATTGAGGAAAATACACATTGCTTCGTACCGCCTCTGGCTGTTTTTGCCAATTGTTATTTCTTTTCATTGTCTTTGGCAGCTTAAAAACCTTAGAGTTTGAATTGTAAACGCTGTAGTTGCCTGCAATGGAGAAGAGGCCATTTCATTTGCACGCAAAGAGTTGCAAACCCAGCAGCACTGCACAAGGCCAGGTTCCAGCTGAGGCACCTCACGCTGCATGCGCCCTATGTGCCATTTCCAGGCCTCTAGTGAAGTTAAAGTTAGCCATACTATACACCATCATTCAAACTTGTTTAGATTTTTTCTTTTGATTCATGCCTTTGCTGCATTTTGTACATCCTCCTGACCATTCTTAGCAGCTGTAACAACACTTGTGGTATTACCAGTAATTTGCAACTTATCAAACATGATTGAACCTTGTTCTTTTGTGTAAACGAAACAGAACTCTTAGGTTGGCTTTCTTTATACTTTGGATATAGTGTAAAGGAAATGGAGACTATATTTGCATGCCAGACAATGAAACATAACACACAGTGTATACATGCCTTTGACATTGTAATTACTAGCTGTTGTTTAGATTCCATGTATGGTCACTGGCTTTGGCTTTGTTGAAATCAGCTGTATCAACATTTAATCAAAGTCTTATAGATTTTGGTTGTATATTTTTCTAACGTCAAAATAGAAATGCTGAGACTGAAAAATAGGTTGCAAGGAATGGAAATGTGTGTGCGATACATTGCAAAAATAATGACCATCTACGGCATAATAAATGAAGCTCATTCTGAATTTGTCAGTAATGAAATCAAACATCACATGGAGTCCATTTAAAATTAGGATTATTTCTCTAGGATTTCAGCAACTTCTAATTAATTTTGCTTCAGTTTACATTCAAAATAGCTCCCTTCACAACATATTCTGTTGAGGCCTTTTCTGATTCAACATGAAATATTTCAAAGAAAATAATTGTACGGCTTTTCCCCTCGGAAAAAAAATGAGTGTATGACTGTTTAGAAATCACATTTATAGTATACAATAGATACCATATCATTTACCACCACATAACACGAGAGCTGCAGGCATCCTCATGCCAAGTATACCTTCTTTCTAAAGAGTGAGAGGCATTTCTATCGATTTAGACTAGAACTTTTAAGGTTTTAAGTGTAAGATTTTGGATTTGCTTTTTTTTTTTAGTTCAATTTTTATTTATGGCCACAAAGATCATGATCTGTGAGGCCAAATCCAGTCCCGTTCTATGCCTTTTCAGAAACTTCCTAGAATGATCGTTCACCATCTCTATCCTTCACCATCCAGACTTCTGCCCTCTTCGATTGTGTAGGGAGCTCCCAAAAGCCATGCTATGAAACCACACGTTAATATATCTTATAATGCCGTATCTATCAACATCTATCTTATTTGCAGACTCATAGGATTCTCATAATGCCATATAAAGCAAATAAGGTGCAAACGTACAGCATTTTAGATGTTTGTTTATTCCTTTAATAATCCATTGGTATCTAAGACAGATAGGCTGCTTGGTGGCACAGTGGTTAAGTGCTCAGCTTCTAACCCAAAGTCAGCTGTTCAAACCCACCTTCTGCTCTGTTGGAAAAGGGATGTGGCATCTGGCTTCTGTAAAGATTTTTACCCATAGAAATCCTGGGAGGTTCTCCTCTGTCCCTACAGGTGGCTTTGGGTCACTTAGACTCAGTGTTAGTGTCTGTTTTTAATAACATAAAGAACCGGAGTAATTACTGTAAGAAAGTAAAAGGTAACTAAGGCGTCCTTCCATTAGTTTTTAATCCCACAATAAGTAATAATGGAAGGTAAGCTGTACACAAATATGATTTTGCAAGGAATTGAGTCATGTCCAAACATAATAATAAAGAAGTTTGAACAGAGGATAATGCTGAGGAATAAATAGATTTTGGACATGGAGATAGGGAGACTAACATGTATATATTCCTAGGAAAACAGGGTTGTTAAGGTGAAGTTTTAAAAGAATGGGTTGGCAACTCTAGAAATAAGATCTGAAGTATAATCTAACTCTAAATGAATCTATGGGGATGTGGGAAATTGGAGTACAAAAGAAAAATGAAGAGGTTATTGGGGTGCTCCAGATAAGTGATCAAAGAGGATAATCAGGGTCGCCAATGTATGAAAGGAGGAACGAACACAGAAGATAATAATGATAGCCTTATAAAGGGAAGCTATATAAATTTAGAGGAAGAAATGTCAAGTTGCAATTAATTGGAAAATGATGTACCATTATTAAAAATAAAGCTGCTGGATTTGAAGGAGAGGGAACACATTAAGAGAGGACATGCAAGTTTTGCAAAGAGGAATCAGTTAGGTTCCCTAATCACCAGGAGCCCAGGAGAAGAGCCAAACAAGAGCCGCAGATTCATTACATGACTACTGGTTGGAAAAAATGCCAAATGCTTCTAAGGAGTGAAAGATAAAGCAGAAGGGCATTTGTTGTTGAACCAGCCAGACCTGTAGAAAGAAATGAGACAGTTCTGTAGGGCAAGATAAGGAAAGGAATGCTAAAGAAAAGTCTATTTGGACAGTATCAACTATTTTTAAAGAATAGGAATATAATGTGGACCAAAAAATAATTTTTTAAAAATGTTATGAGAATGATGATGGCAACAAATGTACATATGTGCTTGACCCAATGGATGTATGTATGGATTGTGATGGCTTAGATTGTTGGAAACCAAATCAATGCA